TGTGTGTGTGTGTGTGTACCGGCAGGAAGCAGGATCTGCAACAGGAGGTGAATGCGGAGGACAACGACCAAAACATGGAACCCTTGTAGCTTTTCTAGCCTGTGCAAGCGTGATGACGTCTGTACTGCACTCTCCTGAGGCTGAGGAGAAAAGGACGACGTGGAGTAGAAGGACAATATCAAGAAAAAAGGCCATGGAGAAGTGAGAATGAAAACATAAAAACCCTTGCAGTCTTCCTAACCTCTGTGCAAGTCTCCCGGAGGCTGAGCGATATTGCCATCCCAAGCAGAAGGATGAAGAGGACGAGACGAATGATGTGGAGCTGAAGTGAAGAACAATGACGCAGAGATGGAGCAGGAGGACCATGGGAAACAAAACAGAGAGCAGAATGGCCATCGATTAGAGAAAGATACACGACTTCACCATAGCATCCTTCTCCCCATTTCCCCTCCCAACTCCGTCTCATCAGCATCCTCATCTTCCTACCCTCGTCATCGTCATCGTCATCTGATCGCGCACCCCCTTCCTCCTCGTCCATCAACTTTTTATCTTCGGATCATGATCACTTAAGTCCATTCCATTCCTTTCCCGTGCTCTCCTGGAGGTAGGAGGATATTCACCTCCACGGCCCCCACACGGAAAGAGGCTGACGTAAAGAAGGACGTGCAGGGGGAAGACATTTGAATGGAAAAATGGGAGGGAGGAATATGATGAAGCGGGTTACAAAGAGAACCCAAATTCATCAAGAGAAAACAAAAGGAAGGCACAATAGCCCCCTAGGCTTTTTCCCACCCCACTTCTTCCTGCCATCACCAACGTCATATTCCTTAGCTCACCCGCCTGATCGAGAACCAAAGTAGTTCTCCGTCTGTCGTATTCTCCTTTCTCAGAGAGGGGGAGTCAGTCCGCAATGACGGGAGCTGAAAAAGCCGGAGCTTAGGTCGCCACGGGGAAGAGAGATGGGTAAAAGCAGGTACAGGCGGCTATTGCAACAGGACGTCGAAAGATGGAGAGTCGCGGACA